CTTATGGGATTAATTCCAATAGAGACTGGCCCGACCCCCAAACTCACTTTTTCCGACACAATACCTATTTGAGTAAAAATAACATCTTAATTTTATGATGGGCACACACAATTAATATTTAAGAGAAATACAGTCACCAGGTTAATGTCCAATAATGGATGGACTCAAATCCCCCCCCCCCCCGTCTTCCCAGCTCACTAGCTCTCTGATAAATGTTTGGGTGAAAACACTAGATTTTAACGTTTAGTAGTAAATAATACCTCAGACTAAAGTTAGGATCATAAAATTGACATTTCTGGATTCCTTGCAGATCAGGGAATATTTTGAATGTAAACTTCATACATTTTGCACAAAAGATAAAATATTTGCTTTGTGTAAACCAAATTATTACATTAGATCTAAAATTTGTATGTCTAATGCAAAATCCATGATGTTTATATTCAAAATGATCATCATATTGTAAGAATTCCAGCAATGTAAATTATATTCTGGCCGAGTAATTTGTATGAATTTTATGAGTTTAAACAAATATCTTCAGTTAATAAAAAAAAAAAATATTCTTCATGACACTATCTGTCAATCAAACTACAGTACCCCACCTTGCCTCTCCCCCATCTCACACTCACGCAAGCTAGGTCAGTCGGTCCCAACCCTCCCCCCCACCTTCCCTCCCTACCAGAGAAATGTTTGGGTGAAAACACTAGATTTTAACTTTTAGTAATAAATAATAACTCAGACTAAAGTTAGGATAATATAATTGACATTTCTGGATTCCTTGCAGGTCAAGGAATATTTTGAATGTAAACTTCATATATTTTGCACAAACGATAAAATATTTGCTTTGTGTAAACCAAATTATTACATTAGATCTAAAATTTGTATTTCTAATGCAAAATGCATGATATTTATATTCAAAATGATCATCATATTGTAAGAATTCCATATGGAAATTATATTCTGGCCGGGTAATTTGTATGAATTTTACGAGCTAAATAAAAAAAAAAAAATTATACTTCACCGCGTATATGAGTAGATGGACTGCGGAAAGTGAAAGTCAGGTTCTGGCAAGGTACCGCGTAAATGAGAAATCTCGGAAAGTGAAACCGTGTAAAGCGGGGTAATACTGTGTATGTATGTATGTGTATATATATATATATATATATATACATATATATATATATATATATATATATATATATATATATATATATATATATATATATATATATATATATATATATATATATATATATATATATATAAGTTGTACCCCACTTAACGCGGTCAATTGAACCCAGAGGGTCCCGTGTTAAGTGAAAACCGCGTTAAGTGAATAACAGAACATATGGGATTAATTCCAATAGAACCCAGCCCGACCCCCAAACTCCACTTTTTGACGACAAATAACTATGTTGTAGTAAAAATAACATCTTAATTTTATGATGGTACATGCACACAATTAATACTTAAGAGAAATAGAGAAATACAGTCGCCAAGTTAATGTCCATTCAAATAATGGACTCAACTCCCTCCCCCTCTTCTCACACTACACTCACTGGCTCTTCCCTCTGAGAAATTTTTGGGGGAAAACCAGGTATAGTAATAAATAATTCCTCAAACTAAAGTTAGGATAATATAATTGACATTGCTGGATTCCTTGTAAGACCAGGAATATTTTGAATATAAATGTCATATATTTTTCACAAAAGATAACATATTTACTCAGAATAAACTTTACATCTAAAATTTGTATGTCTAATGCAAAATCTATGATGTTTATATTCAAAATGATCAGCAAATTGTAAGAATTCCAGCAATGTAAATTATATTCTGGCCGGATAATTTGTATGAATTTTATGAGCTAAAACAAATATCTTCAGTTAATAAAAAAAAAAAATATATTCTTCAACACTATCTGTCAATCAAAGTACCCCACCTTGCCTTCCCCCCTCTTCCAACCAGCGTGGTCAGTCCCAACCCTCCCCCCACCCCCCACCAATCCTCCATTCAAGAGTTTTTAACATTTAGTATTAAATAATACCTCAGATTAAAGTTAGGATAATATAATTGACATTGCTGGATTCCTTGTAAGACCAGGAATATTTTGAATATAAATGTCATATATTTTGGACAAAAGATAACATAATTACCTAGAGAACAATTTTTATCTAAAAATTGTATGTTTAATGCAAAATATATGTTGTTTATATTCAAAATGATCACCAAATTATAAGAATTCCAGCAATGTAAATTATATTCTGACCGGGTAATTTGTATGAATTTTATGAGCTAAAACAAATATCTTCAGTTAATAAAAAAAAAAATAATTCTTCACAGGGTAACAGATGGTCGGTCGGTCGGTCCCTCCCTCCCCCCCACCCCCCACCAACCGTCCCAAGGAGATGTGTGGGATAACCACTAAATTTTAATAAATAATACCTCAAACTAAAGTTAGGATAATATAATTGACATTGCTGGATTCCTTGTAAGACCAGGAATATTTTGAATATAAATGTCATATATTTTGGACAAAAGATAACATAATTACCTAGAGAACAATTTTTATCTAAAAATTGTATGTTTAATGCAAAATATATGTTGTTTATATTCAAAATGATCACCAAATTATAAGAATTCCAGCAATGTAAATTATATTCTGGCTGGGTAATTTGTATGAATTTTATGAGCTAAAACAGGCAGTCAGGCAGGGTGGGGGGTGGTGCGAATCTAAAAATAGCTCTCGAGCCGGACACTCACCGCGTATATGATGAAAAATGCCGCGTTAAGTGAAAGTTCAGCTTTGGCAAGGCACCGCGTATATGCGAAAACGCGTTAAGTGAAAGCGCGTTAAGCGGGGTAATACTGTATATATATATATGAATGAGAGAGAGAGAGAGAGAGAGAGAGATCCTCTAAATAATGAAATACTGCACATTAATATACACATACAGTACAGTGTGTATGTGTGTATGTATAATCCCCCTAAACTCATTAGCTTTATTACTTGATATTACAATCAATATATCAAGAGATTATTGCCCTTAAATTTCCTAAAAATTCATAATGTACACTAATGACAATATATGTTATGCGTGTATACATAGATTCACTGTACAATATTATTTAGCTTAGCAGGGGGAGATTATGAAGCTCAAAATGAAGTAGAAACTCCAATTGAGCTGTTTTCATGCCGTACTTGCAGTTGATGATTATTATTGAAGGCAGGTGCAGGTGCTGTGCAGACATGCAGGGTCACTTAGCATAACTAGTGAGCTGTTCAACTACAGTCCTGGATCCATATTGTTAAAGGTTCATACATTAAACTTCTATGAACATGATATGTGAAAATGCATCGAACTGGTTCACTTCTTATGCTACAACAAAATGACAGAGGCCAATATGGCACTGAAATTGCCCTGGGACTCGAGGGTTTTCTAGATGAGTTTTAATATCCCCAGTTACAAGGAAGAAATATACTGTATGAATCTTTGTTACTCCAGGTCCTGGCACAGAGGTAGATAAAGCTCCCAGTGCCAGTGTATACTCTAGATATGGCTTAAGGGGAAAAAGAGGCAAAAGAATATTCCAACAAGTAGTTCCCACAAAAATGAAAATAAACTTAATCTATACAACAGTAACATTTGCTATTCTCATAAATTTAATGCAAGAATAAATGTGTTGCAGATAACTACAGTATATACTAACGATCATTCAGCAAAACCATACATTCTGGTCCCTATATTTTTTTGGAGTGCAATGGCAGTGCTGTGTATTTAAAGGGAAAAGTGCAGGTGCAACAAGAAAGACAGCAGTCATACTTCATTCAAGCTCTCATCCATTCTTATTAGAATAAACAGCAGAATATCAATCCTTTTCTCAACTTCTTCATATAAAACCAGCCCTGTCGAAATATCCTTCACTGGCTGTATATTTTGTACTTAGTCAAAGACCAGTATGTGAGACGTCATAGGTTCTGGTATCTCTATGTCCTCGTAAATATTCTCTGTAATCACAGCTCAGGAAATATCAAAATATTACCCATTTTTTAATGATGTACAGTATATACATGTGTCTAATTCAACCTGCTTTGTGCTCAAATTGAATGAGTTCCCTAATAAAGATTTTTGACATGATCATTCACCCTATCTTAACATCACAATTTGTGGCAATATGTTTTATTTAGCTTGAGAGTTTGATTTTACTTCCACAGAAAAGAAGAAAAAATTGGCCATGTTAATATTGGGGAATACATTTTATAAAAATATTTTATGTCATTAAGATTCTTTCAATACTGATTGCAAAATTATCAAGCAATATTAAAATAGCATTGATAAATCATATCATAAGTTCAAGAGCACATCATACAAGTTTAAATGATATACAGTACACTGTACAGTATACCCTTGTTCTCTTGAAGAAGAACTGTCAATATGTAGGTGCATGTATTTTACATAGAGCTGAGGTATAAAAATTTTAATTTAAAGGAAAACATAATAGGTTCTTTTCATGATATAAAAACAGGTCCTAACCACAGGTGCATTCCTAAAATTCTCACCAATATACAGTTTTAATTTGTGTATACAAAAAAATAATGTTCTTATAAGAATGGAATATACTGTACAGGGCAAAGTTTTCTGGATAATTTTCTTATTACAAAGAAGGTAAGGTTAAGAATGAATTATCCTTCCCCCAAAAATAAATCCACATTACAGATAAATGAATATTCTCTCTTCATGATCTGAGCACAAGACACACCATCAAGCCAGTCTCTTTGATCAATCTTTTCCCTTCTGAGCTAACTTCCAAATAAAGAAGTATTTCCTACTGCCATCGTGTCAATCAGTTATGCTATCTAATTTCATTCACTGCTCTAATGCTGACTAATATAATTAATTTCATATCAACAATTCTAACTACACGTATTCTATTTTGTTTATATCAATATTCTTATTACAAATTATCATCAACCATCAAATCAAATGCATCATTTTCCACAGTACTTGGCTCGGCTTTTCCGTTGGTTTTAGCTGCTGTGGACGGACGGTTGTCAAGGATGTTGAGGTCACTGAGACGTTCACTTAGGCGTCTCAGGGATAACTCACCTATTGGGGATTGGGTAGCTCCATCCTAAAATGAAAAAAAAAATGGTTTATTGAACATTAAAGCTGAACAATACCATTAATAAAATTCTACAGATGATGAAAAACAGAAGTTGCTATTACAAGCAAATAGAAAAAAATGTATTTTGAATAATAATAATATAGCTACACAAAGATCAGAACCTCATTCACTATACTGTACATATATATATATATATATATATATATATATACAGTGGTCTCTCGGTTAACGAACACAATTCGTTCCAGAAGGTCGTTCGTTAACCAAATCCATTATTTCAATGGGATATTGGGTAATTGGTTCCAGCTCACAGAAAAGTACATACAAAGTAAAGTAAAAAAATGCAACAAGAGAGAAACACTCCTAAAATTCCCCTAAATCGCCCTTAAATCAATATATATATATGTATATGTATATATATATATGTATATGTATATATATATATATATGTATATGTATATGTATATATATATGTATATATGTATATATATATATATATATGTATATATATATATACATGCATACATGCATACATGCATGCATACATACACATGCATACATACATGCATACATACATGCATAATATATATATATATATATATATATATATATATATATATATATATATAGGTTGAACTCCAGTCCAGAAGATGGATTGATTAACCGAAACCATTGTTTCAATGGGTTTTTGGGTAATTGGTTCCAGCTCACCGAAAATTTCCTAAATTCGACAAAAATGGTAGAAAAGTTCACATACTTTGAGCTGTGTATGTAGAAGGCTCCTAGATGATGATGATGGGAATTAGAATGGGGGTGGAGGAGAAGGAAGAAGAAAAGGCATTGGGGTGGAAGAGAAGTCACCCTATGGCACCATTTCATCCATAAAATTTGAGTTCTCTTGGTGTATTTCAAGATTATTTTCTTTAAATCAACACTGCACTGCATTATATATTGTCAATATGTTAAATATATTTCAAAATGACCAATAATTTGCTTGGAAACACAGAAAAAAAGCATTTAGGTGAAGAGAGTCTCAAGCAAGATGTTACCTCCACTGAAAACAGAGAGAGATTAACGCCTGTCTGGTGTGTTAACAGGCTGGATGGCACGCCAGAAACTAGTTTCTTTACCTTCAATTACATTCAATAATTGTTAAAATGACTAAAAAAAGTTAATATTAAACTTTTAAAATTATTGAATAGTATAAACTTCTTGATATTTACTAAAATAGTAAGGAATTTAAGCCCTAGAACCGATTAATGTATTGGCGGACTGATACTAAAGCTGATTGCCCGGTCAGTGCAAGCGAAAACATGTTGAGGTTGGTTCGTAAGAAATTCGTTAACCGAATTGAAGATCCTTATGGAAGGCAGTTCGTTAACCGAAATTTCGTTAACCGAGACGTTCGTTAAACGAGGGGTCACTGCGCGCGCGCAGGTAGACAGTTTCATACACTTTTTATCGAATCACCTGGAGTCTACCAAAATGTCAGTTTTTTCTGCTATGTTCTGAAGATGTCTGCGTATTTGTGACTCTGAATTTATTGACGATGAATTGAAACACATTCGTTCCATTGCACAGAAACTCGGGTACCCTTCTGTGTTTGTTGATCGTTGTTTTAAAAGGGTTAAAAAATCCTTTCATTTCTCTCAAACCAGGCAAATTCCTACACTTAAGAATATTTTAACTTTGCCCTATCGTAATGAATTTGTCCCGTTAGTTCGGTCCCTCAAGCTACTGAATATTAATGTTGTTTTCAAGTATGACTCAACCATTACCAATATGTTAATAAGAAATAGCCCAAGTTTGAATGTAAATGGAAGTGTTTATTGTATTCCATGTAGGAAATGTAATTGTAATTATGTAGGACAGACAGGAAAAACACTGCAGCTCAGAATCAAACAACATAAGTACAATATCAGAACAGCATCTGAAAGCAGTGCCTTGTTCGTTCATGTTAGGAATAATAATCATCCCATTGCTTTGGGAAAAAAGCTTAGTAGTATTTAAATCATCTGTGTCACAGAAAGACTTCTGGTTGAAGCTAGTTTGATTAAGGAATTAAAATCAATAAACCTTAGTGATGGTCAGTTCAAAACTGATAATATGTTACATAAATTTATTTGTCAGTGGCCCAAGGTTAAAAATGCTTTGAAAACCTTTGATCTAGATGTATGATAGTTATTTTGTGGGTCCCTTATTTTTGACCTGACCTGACTAGTCACGTCACCCCCCTTCTCTTAAGCTCCTCTACATGTGTGTTGGTGTGGGGATTAATGGATGACATCATTATGACCTGACCTCATGTTTTTAAGGTCACCCTGTATATTTAAGCCTCTCTCTGTCCATGTAATCCAGTTGCCTCTGAAGATGTCTTGAATAAAGGCGAAAGCTAAGGTGCTCCGTTGTTTCCATTTTCCCGTGTGATTTTATCAAGATATATATATATATATATATATATATATATATATATATATATATATATATATATATATATATATATATATATATATATATATATATATATATATATATATATACACATATATACCCCGATTTACGACCGGGTTAGGACCCAAATCCAGGTCAAGTCTGATATGGTCGTAAGTCCGATATATAGATAAAAAAAAAAAAAATTCTTTTTTTTTTTTAATAAAATCTAAGCAAATGAAATACAAAGCAAGGCAAAAAGCTAATGAATAATGATGAATGATAAAAGTATGAAAGAAAGTAATAAATAATAGAACGGATAGTGTGACTGAGCACTTAACCTTTAATGTAGTCAGCTGAATGCACATGGGGCTCCCATAATTTCTAATTATACATGGAGACTGACATTAACTGAAACGTTTCGGTATAGAAAATGCGTAAAATATTTAAAAAAAAAAAAAAAAAATTTTTTTTTTTTTAATCTATATTCGAGGCGTCAAAGTCCTGACGGTCAAGTCCACGGTAGTCGTAAGTCGTAAATTAGGTGTATGTATGTATATATATATATATATATATATATATATATATATATATATATATATATATATATATATATATATATATATATATATATAATATACAAATAGAATTTCACTTAACGCGGCCAATTGAACTCAGAGGGTCCCTGCTAAGGAAATCACAAGTATGAACAACAGAACATATGGGATTAATTCCACAGAACCCAGCCCACCCCCAAACCCACTCTTGACGACACATAACTATACAGTAAAAATTCTATCTTAACTTTATGATGGTGGCGAAAACAAGTAATATAGAAGAGAGGTTAGGTTAGGGAAAGATAAAGGTTAATATAGGAAAATAAAGAATAGGTTAAACAAAACTCTTAGGAACACTCTACGTAGAGAAGATGGGTCATATTACTTAGATGGAGGCTGGAGTTCCTGGAGGCAGAGGGCAGATTATCACCCTCATGAATCACCATTACTAGGGTGAATCACCACTGTCACTTACAGTTGTCAGGCTTCCCTCAAAGTCATCTTCACTTTCTACCATCACTGGCTTGGGCTGTGGTGGCTGCGAAGAACCCGGTTACGCTTTGCTGACGCTGCGTTGATGTTGTCGATGTCTTTGGATGTACGGCCCTACAGCCTGCACCAGTCGGTATGGAAGACTTGCAGCGCTTACATCGTCATTGTCGCGTGGAAAAGGACGGTGACTTAATTTTTTCTTGCAAACTCTATGACACTTAATATCACCATGACTTGAATTCAGGTTCTTCGGAGAATGACGACCTTTCTTCTCCTCCTTCTCATCGGCGTGTTCTTCTTCCAACATCTCGTCGGCAGTCACTTCAGGATCTCTTTGATCACTCCAGGACGTTCCTCGCTGGTGGTCTCGAGAAGCCTTCATTGCAGCTGAGTTTAGCTTCTCTGGCAAGGTCCACTGCTACTGCAACAGTGAACTCACCAGTCATAGTGTCTACCTCTGCCTGGTATGCTATGCGCAACACATGTCTCCATGCGGATTTAATCGAAAGCAATAGTCAGCAGATCCCATGCCTACCAAGAAGTCTACAGTTTGTTTAACGCAACTTCTTCCAAAATTCATTGTTTGACGAGAAGTTCTTGAGTCACCGCCTTGTTCCTTGTCCTCGCCGCTTTTTGCTCTCGGGCTGTCGCTATACACCAGCTTGCTTAACTCATCCTGGTGTTGGTAGAGTCGCTCAGGAGCTTGAAACTTTGCAGAGCCGCAGCTTACATTGCAGATCAACTCCTGGGTCCAAGTGGGCTGATTAATGACGAGTGTTGGGAGGAAGGAAGACCACTTTACGCTAGTGACGCATCCATAAGTGCAGGGCGAAAGTGTCCAGGTAAAGCAGCGGTCAAGGAGTGCTAAATAAAATATTGAATGGAACATTCTGCTGCTCGCAGAATTTCCCTGCACGCCAGAACAAAACAGTTGTCAAACCAGAAGAGGGACAGAGAAGAGGATGACATCCACGCATTTCACGCGGCGAAAGTTAGCCAGGACATTGCTTGTTCATGTCCATATTCTTGTAGGCGCATGGCTTGCGGCCAGAATCATCATAATCTTTTGGTTTACAGGTACCGAGGCATTGGTGGTAAACAGGACGGTGATGCTCTTCTGCAATCTCTGACCCCTTACCTGCTGGCAGACTGACAACGGAAGGTCTTGGAAGGTAATTTTTTCCAGAAAAAGACCAGATTCGTCCATGCAACACCTGGTCATTACTGTACTGTCCTTCCTCCATAATCTCAATGAAAACGGAGGAGAAAATCTCTAATGCTTACACGGTCAGCACTCTCGCCTCACCACTCAATGTTGATGTTAAGATCTTGTTCTCTTCAAACTCTAAGTAGCCACCAGAGGAAGCATTGAAGGTCGGCTTGCAATTCCTCTAGTTTACGGTCAATAAGGCGTATAGCTCACGCGGCGATTCTGCACTGAGCTGCTATTCACCGCCATGTTAAGCTGCCACTTCGACGCATCAAATAACTCACCAGCAAATTTTTCACTCTTGCCAGCACCCTGTT